TGCATCTCTATCTCTTAAGTTAGTTAAATCATTATAAATATAGCAGAATTCACCAGTTTGAACACCGATCAAAATAACTTGACGCAAACCTTTTTGAGTTCGTTTTTCTCAAAATAGAAATATCTGTCTATAAGTGGTTTCGGAATTTGCCTGCCGTTTGATCACTGATAATAACAGCATGACAAGAATAAAACTGTGCTTGTCTAGATCCATATAAAAAATTTCGTGAATTGCTAGCTTCTAAAAAATGTCTCATTATGTCAACATTAAACTAATGCTTAATGTTGAACCCTTGTGACATCAATATTCTCAACGGACCTCGGGAAAGTCACCCCGAGACGTTAGAAAATGCAATAATAGTGGTAATGCTCCAGTAATAAATTTGCTTTATTAGTTAATTTATTAAAACAAAAATATTTGTCGCTAATTTCCTAAAGCACAGGAGATTGAGGAGTTGGGATTTCCTCATATTATTATAAAAGTACAAATTCAATCCCCCCCCCCCCCCGATATTCGAGATGCTTAATAGGCTTACCTCCACATGGTGCACACTAGGAAGCGTATACTCATACGACGAAAAGTCCATAATCCGGCAGTTGACTTCTGACTTCAAACTACCATGACCCCACTGTATGTCATTTTCCACCATTTCCACAGTACCCATCTTACCCTTTCCTCTACCTTTATCTCTGTCTCCCTTTCACATCTGTGAAGCACTTTTCTGCCCCCCCCCCTCAACTTTTTGTGACCTTAATGTTACTCCCCTCTGTGAAGCCCAAAGTGACCTTAATGGCTAATGAAAACTAACATAAAGTCTGTTACTCGATATAAATAAATGTCCCGATGACCAGCTAATAGTTTGAGTGATCGGTTATGTTTTTTCTGATCATTTGCCTCTTCTGTCTGCTCAACTGCAGTCAACGTGTTTTTTAGCTAAGATGTCGTTTTAGTCTATGGTTAGAACATCCATGTCGTAATTTTATCGAATATCTACAACTTAAAATACAGCTGGGGTGGCTTCATCTATAACAATGGAACAGGGGAAAATAAACAAGTTGTAGACTTTTCATTCAGACAATGAGCAGAATAAATGGCAGCCTTGAGCTAAAATCAAAAATATCGCTCTATTTGTCTTAGTGCCGAGTGGGAGAGCAAAACAATTGAGTAAAACCAATATGCAATAGTGGATAAGTGTAGGAAGATAGCAGTGAACGGTAAGTAAGAAATAAAACGAGCTAAAAAATACTCTGACTTTATTCCTCCCTGTTTCCTCATTGGTTTGGAATGAATGTGCTCAATAAACGTGGATCAGAAATTAGCAACCATCTAACTGAATGGAAGTAAGCATTTGTTTAATAATCAAATTGAAAATTATTCAGTTTAAAATAGCAAGCGTTACCTTTTCACCGCCAATGAAAATAAATCTGGATTCTCCCACTTACTAATCTAATCCTAATTGCCTTTTGAGTAGCCTTGATGTGAGTTTGTGCGATTTTTATGATTCAAAGTTTGAAATCTTGGTACTCGATGAATTCGCCTCAAAGCCAAAGTTGCTCACCTTGGTTTCATTGAAAGAAAAGAACATTCAACAGAAATGTTTAAATTCTCTTGCAAGTCGATTTTGAAATTTCTCCCATAGTCTTAAGGTAATTTTAAGGTGGGTCTTAGAAGAAATTGATTGAATGAGAACTCTTCTAAATTTTTTTTTGACGGTTTCTAATCATATAACAGTAACTTTGGAAGAAATTGATGAGAACATACTCCTCTTAAAGGCTTAAGAATGACGGTGTAATTATTTTGGCAAAAGGCAGGCACAACGTTAAGTATTATAGTGCGCTATTTTTATACAATACGACAGGAGTTTTCTCTGATTCGTTGTAGAGTAGTCTATTTTTGTAACCACTCTGAAATTCCACTTTGTTACCTAAAAACACATAATGTTAATGGAGTTATTGATTTCCAACACTTAAGGCACACACCACTGCTGATATGTTAAGTAATCATAGCACGCGCACTCTCTACTATCCCTTTATAACCCCTTTCTGACTCGGGTTAACTTCGATGAATTGAAGCATGCCTTTATCTACCTACCTTTAACTTCAGGATCAGAGTCCCTTCCCATTCTAGAGAATATGCCATATGACGCTTTAGGTTGCTCTGTTATTTTAGTCAAATGGGCTTTGTTAAGCAAAAGAAATAAAGAATATTTTAGCTAAGAAGAGGACTAATTTTCAATACGCCATATTTGCTTGTTACTATTGTAAATTTTTTGTAAAAAAAGAATATTGGATTAACTTGTTATGCATTAATAATGTAATCATAAATTCAATATGATAATCAATAATAATCTTACACTCAAAGCATAATAGCAAATATAAGCATAAAAGTTTGTACGATCAGTAGAGCGTCAACTATTTAACATTTCTGAGGAAAATGGTAGTTATTTAATACAAATTATTATTATTATTTTTTTGTTGCTCTGTTAGCGTGAAGTAATAAGTATTCATATTGGACAAGGAGGTGTTCAAGCTGGAAACGCTTGTTGGGAATTATATTGTTTGGAACATGGAATCCAACCAGATGGACAAATGCCTAGTGATAAAATCATCGGTGGCGGCGACGATTCTTATAGCACCTTCTTCCTCGAAACTGGTGCTGGAAAACATGTTCCTCGAACCGTTTTGGTAGATTTAGAACCCACTGTGATAGGTCAGTTAATTAAAGGCTTCAAAAACATTTTTCCAATGTTAATTCTAATCCTCCATAACTGAACTTTTAGATGAAGTACGAACTGGAACATACAGGCAGTTATTTCATCCAGACCAATTGATTACAGGCAAAGAAGATGCAGCAAATAATTACGCGCGAGGTCACTACACAGTCGGTAAAGAGATAGTGGACCTAGTTCTTGATCGAGTTCGAAAAGTGGCTGACCAATGTTCAGGATTGCAGGGATTTATCATTTTTCACTCTTTTGGTGGGGGTACTGGCTCAGGTTTTACGTCCTTATTCATGGAGCGATTGAGCGTGGATTATGGGAAGAAAACTAAACTTGAATATGCTATATATCCTGCACCTCAGATATCAACGGCGGTAGTAGAGCCTTATAACTCCATTTTATGCACTCATTCAACTATCGAACATTCAGATTGCGCCTTTATGGTGGATAATGAGGCTCTGTATGACATTTGTCGACGCAACCTCGATATTGAACGACCAACGTATACCAATCTAAATCGCCTAATGGCTCAAGTTATTAGTTCAACAACGGCGTCTCTGCGTTTTGATGGAGCATTGAATGTGGATTTAACAGAGTTTCAAACTAATTTAGTGCCCTATCCTCGTATCCACTTCCCACTAGTTACTTATGCCCCAACATTCTCAGCAGAAAAAGCCTATCACGAGCGCCTGAGTGTTGGCGACCTAACTAACAGCACATTCGAGCCAAGTAATCAGATGGTAAAATGTGATCCACGACATGGAAAATACATGACCTGCTGTATGCTTTATCGGGGCGATGTAACTCCAAACGATGTTAATGTAGCCGTCGCTTCAATTAAAAGCAAAAGAACCATCCAGTTTGTTGATTGGTGTCCAACTGGATTCAAGATTGGGATCAACTATCAACCCCCTACAGTAGTTCCGGGAGGTGATCTTGCCAAAGTCCAACGAGCCCTCTGTATGATTGCAAATACTACAGCTATCGCAGAGGCTTGGGCACGTCTGGATCATAAATTTGACCTTATGTATGCTAAGAGGAGCTTCGTACATTGGTATGTCGGCGAAGGCATGGAGGAAGGAGAATTCTCCGAAGCTCGCGAAGACCTTGCTGCTTTGGAAAAGGACTATCAGGAGGTTGGGACTGATTCTATAGACGGAAATGAAGAAGACTACGAAGAACTTGAATAGCCTCCCCACCTCCTACTCCAGCACTTTTCCTTTTCTACAAAACCGTTTGATTTATGATTTGTAGACAATTTAATATACTTGCACAGACCTGAATCGTTCTTCCCAAGGCTTTCAGTGGTGGTATACTTGATCATGAGTTAAATAATATTTTAATAATTTGAAGTATCATTTTAAGCCCTTGCGCTTTCAGCAGTTCAATTGGTTAATTTTCTAAGTGTTTTTACTTGATTTCTACTTTAGATAAAATGTTGAAGACGACCATACTCGAATAACTCATTCAGCTACGCCTTTCTACAGTCGATTTACAAACTCAAATGCTAATTAGCATTCCTTCCTTCCTAGAGCATCGCTAACATACTGCTGATTAACAAACTTCCATCGTTCCATCGTGTGCTCTCACAGGAGTTCAGGTTAAAACTCGTCTGAAAAGGCGCTTATCACCGGTTCGGTCCCTATGCATACATAACCAGTGAGTGGAAATATCAGCTACGATGGTAGAAATCGAGTTTCTTACCAGGGAGGGCCCACGATGTTACCCTTTGCCCAAAATTAGCATATGGGGCCTCTTTTATAAAAGAGTTTTGAAATTATTCTAAGCCTACTCTATATGAGATAAGACACCACTTGGTACTAAATATTGCCAATTTGTTGCAGAATTAATGGCCTCTTAGGAAGCAAGAACAATATTGTATTTAACCAAGATTCATTGAGAGAGTAGTCAGTGCGTGTGTGTTTATTGGTCGGAAAGGACTATATACGTATTGAGAAGTTGATAAATACCCCCCCCCCCCATATTGAGATCACGGATGGAATGGCCATGGAGCATACAGATCAGGGACTATCAACAACTTCAGCATTGGGACATTAAGATGATAGAGTGACTAGAATTAGTGCTTAAGGAAATTGAGAACAATCAGTTAAGTGGGGTCGGTTGATCAATGATTGTAAATTTAAGTTCAGTAGCTTCAACAATTGACTTTTAGGGACAGAGCTGATTAGAGAATAAGGTCAGGCAGATTCATTGCAGAAAATATTCGAACTGATTTTAAAATGGAAATAAGCCAATAACTGAAGGAAATTTAGTGGATACTTGAAAAAAGGTCAAAATTGAAATGACGAGCCAAATGAGAAATGGACCAACCCCCCCCCCCCCACCCTTCATATAATTGGGTTCAGCTTATTTTCAGGTGAATGGTTTCTCATTTAACAAACAAAGAACTCAAAGCGTCCTCTTACTCATGATCTTAACTACACCCCGAGTCTCAATGAGTCAATGTTGAGCTACCGCTACAACGCCCGAACCCCTCTCTTAGTTACGGTTTTCTGATAAACATATTGAAGCATACTGGGTAAAATTGCTTAGGAAGATTATTCTTTGATAGACTAACTTAATAAGACTCAGAGCCTAGCAATCACATTTACAGAATTTTAGAGAGCCACCTAGGACCTCCAGAATGGTTCAAGCCGCATCGTATCTAAGTCTCAGCTTTATCCCTTATGCTTATCTATAAAAGTGATAAAAAATAGCTGAAATATCAACAAGCCTTCATACTGATTGATGAACAAGCAAAGTAAAAAAATTGAGAAAATTACATGAAATCGGGAATAGAGAATCCATCATTAGCTTCATTACGAGCCAACTTCGAGTTCAAAACCACCGAAACTGAGGTTGTCGGAATGACTCCCATTTCGGTTATTACAGCCGATATGAGAGAGGGTTTAATAACATCATAAGTGAGGTTCAAAAGTCGTAGATTTTTACGGTCCTTTTCACGTCGAGACAAGTCACGCCAATTCTCCGGATGGTCTTCAGGACATACAACGTATTCCGGATCTTTCGGCTTCTTCCAGTCTTCGGAAAAAGCCCGCTCACCACGCCATAACTCATCTGGATCAGCCAATTCATTAAACTCAAATGCATCCGACTGGGCTCGATCCCAGAACTTATAGGTCTCTGCACAGACCATCACTGGAGAACCCACCTTAGCGTGGATTATGTTGGCAACATGAGCTGTGCCTATCGCTCCAATTGCAAATCCGTTGGTCAACAAACTGTGCGCTCCAATCAAAGTCAGGTCAATCTATAACGTTCAACGATAAGATGTAAAATATGTACTACTAATGAATTATCTGTAGTAGATGATGACATACCGTAGACGCGAATGCAGGCAAAGCACTGATGGGAATGAATTCACAGGGGATGCCCAAGTTGCTTAGCTTCACCAGAGTTTTTCGACCATCACATCGGGGTCTGCTATCCACAATGCACACAGAGAATCGACGGCAATACTTCTCCCAAGCAGTAATCAAAGAGCGCAAAACCACTGTAGAAGAATCACATATGCAGATTTTTGATCCATCATTAATAATTTTATTTACGTGTTCCGCAATCACCAAAGTGGACTTGTAAATCTGATCGACCACAAACGTACTCAAGCCATCTACTAATCCCAAAGCCAACTGAAGAACAATTATCGAACGTAATTGAAAATAATTAAAAGACAATTAAGGCAAATCACGACGAAGTTAATAACTTACATCTTCCTGGGTCTTTAGACTATCGAGTCGATTGAGAGCAGTTTTGAGACAGTGAACAGCGCCTCTAACAGTCACGGCAAGGGGGCGACACTGATCCAGAAACGTGACATGCCTATCGAAGTGAATTTGAAAGGCACGAGCAATGCTACCATTAATGGATTGAATTCCACTCCAATCGAAATCACGAATTAGCATAAGGGCGGCAAAAACGAACTCCATACACCTTAAATCTGAGCCCTTGATTAGACCCGAGTCGATCTCAAACCCATGACGTTGGAAATTGAGATGAATCATCGTTTCTGCACCACATCTAAGGATAAATCAAGTGGATAACAGTGCTTGCATGAGCGGAGAGTTACAATGAAAATGCAATGAAAGCAGATAAACGTACTGGTGTTGATCAAGGACATTTATTCTTTTATCTGGCTGGCTAAGATGTTGGAAGTAACTTATTCGGACAGGTTCAAAAGGCCTAGGAGGAAGTTTCTTTTTGAATAATTGGCGTAGAGACTTTTTTATGTGGGCCGGATCGTCCATTCTCATGACACCGAGTGTCGAACGTTGACAGGAGCCAGCTTGAGCTGGTTTCTTGTCATCCTGGGGAACTTCTGATGTTGCATCACCTCCAGGTAAACGAACTTTCTTGCTATTTTGTTGTTGCTGTAGGTTAATTGAGGGATCAGTAGTTTTGCGTAAGCTTTGTTTCTCTTGATTAGATTGAGAAGACTTAAGGTTTTGATTCTGCTTTTTGCTTTGCTTAGGTTCAATGTTACCATCTTTAGGTGCGGTTGAATTTTGCGCCTGTTTTGCTGCTTTTTCCGCTTCTTTTTTAGCCCGTTGAGCTTCCTAGATTAACAAAAAGAACAAAGCAATAAATGACCAAAGCCAAAATTTACGGAAAGAAATTTCTGAATACCTGAATCGCACGACGTTCTTTCCGCAATTGGGCCTTCGATTTAGCAGGAGGTTCCGCGTTACTCTCGTTCATCTAATCAGGAAAGCAAATTTCAAAAGTTACAGCCCAATGATTATCGTAAGCATACTGCTACTTCTTATTTGTATCGATATTTATTAATAGTAAAATGAGACATGATAAATAAGAACTAAGGAAAAAATTAATATTACGGCTAAAAGGATGAAGCCATGAGGTATTTAAGAAAAAATTACAATAAGGGCGTCACATGACTAATTACCATAAAGAGCGCCAATATCTAAATAAATAAAAACAAAACTATTCGATTTACACGTGTTTAATTTAAGTGTAGTTAGACACTCTTGTAATTATTAAAAATTTAAAAATCAATTAAAAAATGTAAGAAAATATTTTGCTTTCCTATTATAAATATAATTATAATTTGTTACAGAATTTCAAATGGTGAAATCTCAAGCTTTACTGGTCAAATAAATATGAATATTCACTGCAGCTATTTGATTAAAGTAAATAAGACTACGGAGTCACTTTTATCTAGCCGATTTGTCTAATGTGTCCATTTCAAAACTAAAGTCGCAATTGGAGAAATTATTTTTCTCAAGTCTTACTATGAACATTTTAAACAAACCCAGAAGCTGAGTGAAGTGCCAACCAGTAAAATTATATGATGGAACCTAAAATTATTTTCCGACATTCCTACACAATGCCTCAATTGATTCCAATCATATTTGTATTGGCTAACATTGAAGAGGCATTACAATTTATGCAAAGCATAAGAAGTAATATTTGAATAACTGTATCTGATATTAAGTTATTCACTTATTTTTATTAAAGACGACTTTTCTTTTTTCTTAAATTGACATTATTTCAAATTTCAATAGTCAACTCTTGAAAATTTGCTGCTACTCATTTTAATTGATAAATATAATTGCTCTTAAGTTGTGTGCATCAATTTATCATTTATTCGGAAAAAATGTGGAATTAAGGTCCAATAGCAAATTTCAATACGGATAAATTAAAAACCCCTTTCTCATTAGATGGATCTAACCATCGATTTCCGAGTTTTCTCAAAACACACAAATGCTCACTTAGATGGATCAGTCATTATAACTGCCGTTTAAGTCATTTTTCTTCCCATTCACATATAGTGAGTGACGTCAAAATCCTACGGCAATATTGTTTTCGGTTTAATCTTTTATCATGTTGGAATTTTAAAAAGGGTTCCTTGGAATGTGTTATTTTCAATCTAATACTTGGATAAAACTAGGTTAAGTTAAAAATCTTTGTTTCATCTATTTATTCAAAAAAAGTAATTAAAATAATCTATCGAAATAGATGCATGAAAGAGCTTTGTGTTTGTCGTTTTTGCTAATAAGCTAACTCTTTTATTTTGATGAAGTTCAATTGTTTTCCATTATTATTAGGGTAATTTACAAATATTTTCGAAATTTCATTTTGATGCTAAGGGAAATCGGAATAATACTCTTGCATGCATTAGAAGTTCAATTATATTTCATCGTCATAGCAATTACAAACAGAATCAAATGAAAATCGTATAGTTCCCCATTGCATTATGATTACAAACTGAATAAATCATGTCCATGTATTTAAATAATATTCGTTTCTGTCGAAAAATATCAGGCTGATGGGTTAGTACTTTCCAGATACTTCATAATATTGGACTTGAAAGAACTTTAAACTGTTCATCTGCACGACGAATATTATTACATTTTGCCAAAAATAGGCGTGAATACATTTAAAACTTCTGTGGGACACGTCATCGCATGCCTGCACGCCAGGAATGGGAGGTGCGACACGTCATCGCATGCCTGCACGGCAGGATTGGGAGGTGCTACGTCATCGCATGCCTGCACGCCAAGATTGGGAGGTGCCACCGTAAAAACAGTGACCGAGCATAACCTAAACCGCCATCCTGATCATGATTAAGCTCCCTGCCTGTACACTTAATCCGCAATACACTTACTGAATAAACGTGCTCCGTGCAACACATTCGTTTCCTTTCATAGCTGGGCTATAGCTTAGCTAGTTCTGAGAGTCTAGCTAGATGTTGAAGAATCTGCCATAGAGATTTCGGAGTCAGTCAGGCTTTACTAAGGTAGCAATCCGCTACACTTCTAAAACAAATTAAGTTCATATTCATTGAGAACAATTTGTGGATTTTTCAAAATTATTAGTTGGATCAAATCTCTTGATTCAATGCTTAACCAGTTAATAAATTTTAAGTTTTTCTAATCGGTTAAACAATGTGACCCACTGGTTCTAAATTAAGTACTCGAGTTTCATTACATGGGGTGTGATAGACTTACCTCCACGTGGTGTACCCTGGGCAACGTATACTCATACGGCAAAAAAGTCTATTAACCGGCAGCTGACTTCTGACTCCGAACCACCATCACTCCAGTGTATGTCATATTCGACTACTTTCGCGGTACTCACCTCGCCCTTTTTCTACCTTTGTGTCTGTCTCTTACATCTTTGAAACACTCTTCTGTCTCCCCCCCCCCCAGACTTCTTTCCACTTTGATGTTCCTTCCCCTCTGTGAAGCCTGAAGTCAACTAAAGGGCTAATGATAACTATCAAAATGCCTGCCATTTGATATAAATAAATAAATAAAGTTTCATTACATAAATCTTGTATATTGCGACAAATACAGCATGTCGCTTATTTGGTATGGCCTTGCACTAAATTCGTCAACATTGAAGGAAAAGTGTTTAATGCTCGAGCCACGTTCAAATCCTCGTGCAGGTGTCTAAGTATTTAAGGTACCGAACACAATGTTTAGGTGAATATCTGGTGGATAGCAACCGGTTACTTTTATACAAAATTTCATTGGCTTTCATGAAGGTTGACTAGTAGTATCGACAGTGAAATACTATGCACACTATTGTAAAATCGGTTCAATGGATTTCTTGTGCAGAATATTGTCAATTGTTCTTCGTGTGTAATAGCAAGAAATGACTAAAAACATTTAGTTGTTTAATGAAGAGATATACTTCAGTTTGAATCCATGATAAGTAGATAAAAAACTAGTGAAGTTGAATTGATGTTCTTAAATTTCTAATTAATTCTGTCCTATTACCGTGTTTTCTAAATTTTTTTGAACTGATTTTATGTTTTCTTTAGCATCTGTATTATCAATACATCAACTAAGAATAAGGTAGGGATGTTTCCAGCTTTAAAAACAAATTTAAATTTTTCCAAATTTGTAGACAACTAATGGTTTTTATTCAAATACAATATTTAAATGATGGTTCTAAGAATTCACATCATACCTAAACTAGTAAAATTGATTATTAGAAAGTGTATTTATTTATCTGTTACTGTAAATTATCAAAAAAATGTACTTCTAATAATTCCTTGGAAAACAAAACATCGTTTGTTGACGACAACTTACCAAATGAATACAATTACTAATTAACTTTTTACTATTTCCTAAACATTCATCCTTTATATAGACTGAGAAATCATTTTTTAGCCGCAATCAGTATATAAACAGTGAACGTTAGTCCACTGAAATGAATAAAGATATCTCAAAATTTAAACAAAATATAATTATATGTATTAGAGATAGTTAAAGAGCTCTAAGAAACTCAACCTCCATTTGCATATTGCAACACCAATGAAAATATTAGGCTCAAAACCAAAAATTATTATCACTTTAGATTACCTCTTTTCAATTAATGGACGAGGATTTTAGAATGAATCGCGCTGTGCATATGATATTTTCTGACCAATAATCATAAAATAGCGAATGACCAACTGCAGAAAATTCAATTGTTATCCCTTGAAAATTCTCAAATATCAATCGCACATGTGCACGGTACAATTCGTACATTTATGAGTAAGATCAGTTTAGATAACAGTACTTTGGATGAATATATTAGCCAATATTTGTAAAGCATTTTATGCAAAACACTTCTCAAAAATTTCTGTCGTATTATTGATTGATTCAGTTAAATCTAAATAATGCTGTCAGCATTTGAATAAAAGGGAGGATTTTTCGCAGACACCAATACAAATTTATTTTTAAATTGGAATAAAATTAGAGGAGACCTACTCAAAGAATTATAAATATATGTAAAGAAATCGGAAGTAAGCTCAAACATAAAGGATATCGGAATGTATAAAACATGATCGAACAAACGTTTTGAAGAAAACTTATCGACCCAGCAAACATACTTTGCATGTAGAAATATATTTCAGAATGGAGTATTCCATTATTAGGCATAATGGGAATGAATTATTAAAATTACGAGAATTAACGACCCAATAGAACTTTAATTAAATGAATAGCTATTGAAAATAGTAACCCACAATGAATCAATGATTTCCTACCTTTTAATTAAAGTAACTTAGCTCGGGTAATAAAATTTCATAAAATATTAGAAATACATTGTACTCACAATTTACAAATTCATTTTATGAACTAAGGTGGCAATTCTTTTAAAAAGTATTTCTAAACATGGAATGCTTTATTATTTTACAAAATATTCCTGATTTTATGTAATTTTTACAATAAATATATAAATTGTTTTAGGGACCGTATTTAAAGTAAGCGGCAAGTTCGGATAATTTTTCCGGTCCAATTGGGCGAGAGGTTGTTTGGGACTTTTGAATTCACGTAGGCTATTTTTACCATTTGTCAATAACTTTTTTTGCGTCGCTTACGTGCAATAGTTTTCCTTTACGCATAAATGTGTTTCCGGTTGATGGCCTTCAAATCAGCCAAAATATCACATTTATTTTGTTCTATTTCTGTTCATTTTTTATTAATGTTGTTAATATTACCTGCATGCAAATTTATTTCTGATACCGATGTTTTTGTAAAGATTTATTCTTAACATTACGATTTGGTTATTTCTCTGTGTTTTTTCTTTTTCATTTATAGTTTTGTTTACTCTTCTGTAAGCCCTTTTGGATCTCTTCGTCTAATTTTCCTTACTAGGCCAAAATGTCTACCGATTGTCCTCAAGTAGTATCGTTATCCGATATACAAAAATCATCAGGAAAGTCTTCTCCTCCTAAGAGCATTTGTCAACCGTTCACCCTTCGGTTGGTTTTGGGGTATGGCCTAGCTTTCCGTTTTAATAACATTTCTAAGAGTCCCGATTCTAAAGGAAGAAAGCAAAATTTATTCCGATATGGAGAATATGTTTGCACATTATGCACGAAGCGCTGAATTTTCTGCTGCTAATACTGCCTTGAAAACTGATACTGAACTTTTCTGGTACGTGCTTTTCTCTTTTTCATTTTCCCATATTTTTTCTAGGAGCCACATCCAAACTGGATTGAACACCCTGGTGAAGTTGTTAGAGGATGCTGTCCGTGAAACAACTTCAGCCAAAAGTGCAGATCCGTTCTCTGTGGTTCTCCTAGATTTCGCTTGGTTGAATTCTCAACTCGGGCATCATTTGGCTCATATCTGCTCTGGAACATCACACACCAGTCTATTAGCTGTTAATCCCCCCGGCAAACTTGCTAAAATGTTGAACGCACAAACGAAGGTATGTACTATCTTCGGTTTACCCGGTTATTTGTTTATATCTGTCATATATTTACCATGGAATGTATGCGGGTTAGTTTTTGAGTTTATTCTAAAACTTCTCACAGCTCAAGTAAGTTTAAGTGAGTTTCAATCCTTCATATTTGAAAAGTATTTTGCAACTTCGTATATTTGTTCGAGTACCTTTTTAGAGAGGCCCCATGGTTCTATTCCTCTGCTTAAAGTGGGCTTTGGAGTTAGTTAATGTTTAGTTTTGTTTGCTCTTAATTAGAAATGAAGGAAGAATTGGTTGATAAGGTTTCAGCTTTAACTTTATTCATTGTAAAATATTGTATGATTTTTGGGTGCTTGTTGTTAGTTTAACTGTTTTTATTACATCAGCAATCACATATTACATCTTATTTGAATGATTGTTTTAACCTCCCATGAATTGAGACGCTCAAACTTTAGCATTTTGTCAATTTTTAGAAATTTGAACCCTGTCTACCATAACTTGAATCACTTCTGAACTAAGTCTTAAGGCTAGAGAAGATGAAATAGTGCCTATTGAGGTAGCAGACTTAATTGTTCTTACGGATAAATCGAAACTAGAAACCCGTCAGATCAAAGGTCAGCCTGTTATCACACTGTCGTATTAAAAGCTTAACTTTGATATAAAAGTCATTAGACGTTGGTAGCCTCATTAAGCCTGTTTATTGTGATAAAGGTCTCCACATAGTTATTTCCATTGTCGAGATGTCTGGAATAAAGCTCACGCATATTGATGATCGACGGATCTATGCAGTGTAAATTGTTCCCCCCTAGATATTACAGCGTCTGCAACCTTGAGTTATTGTAAGGATCGATGTCTGAATATTTATTTAAGGACATCACATAGATATGGTAATATGCACTAAATATAATGGCCTATAAGAGCATCAAAGAACGAAGAACCAAGAAATATAAAAGTGAGGGAAAGTGATCGTCTTGCCACAGTAAGCTCTTCGACTCCAAGTCACATTTGTGATTGGATTAATCTCACTTCCGTTTTTCCCATTGGTCCGCATGCTGACTAACGAGGTTTTTAGCGCGGCCTACTCTGTTTGCCGGGATCTCATCACTATTAGTACTAAGCATTACCTTCTGCTGTTCTGTCACGAATTTGGTCGAGACGGAGAAGGAAAGTGATTCGTGAGATATCTTTAAAGTTTGGTCGGTTCTAATAACTTTCAAAACGTACACCATATTCTAAGTGGTTATTCCAATGCGCAGGTGGTATGCATAGCGATTCGTCCATTGATGCACCCTAACACAAATCGAATGCCCCTACTTCGTGACTTCCTGCGAGCATGCGCCAGCCTATCAGGCAAATCTCTTCCACCTGATCCAGCGGCACCCACCAACACTTTAGTTGTCACGGGTAGCACTGAGGGAGCTATCGATGCACCCCCTGGAGCCCTCGGTTCGGCCCCCCAATATGTGCCCATTCTGCCGAAACCCCCCGCCTCTACCATGCTTGTTTCTCCACATCCTGGGGTTGATATTACTGCTTCATCTTCGGGATATGTGGTTGCTGCTAGTGCACCATCTTCCAATATCCTCGCTAATACGGTAAGCCATTCCTATTTTTTCCCTTTGTTGATGAAAAGGCAGAAACCGAGTATCAAATCATTAGTTCATTTTTGGTTTGAATGTCAATTGTGAAATCACATTTTTGGCCTACGATCACTAAAGTCAAGAGTAAATGTTTTATTGGCCCTGCCAAATTAGATATAAAGATCATCCCTAGTGGTCTTATTGAAAAATAACAGAATATAGCAGCCTTCCCAAAAACCAAGGGTCGAGTTGGATCGTAGGGGGGAGAATATATGATGCTTTCACTGATACTCATTCTAAAACTCACCCTGAGCGTGAAATTTTTTTGGTAAGAGGTTTGCAATGAGACAATCATGAAAATATGTTCTGTTGGAGTCCGGTAAACTTCGATTAAGGAACGTCCCTTTGCAGAACATATTGTCTTCCCTAGAGTTGTCGTTACGACCAGGGGTTTAGTTCGTTTAGAAGAAAAGATGCAGAAATTGGAAATTGAGGGAAATAAGCGTTGGCACAAAGTGAGCGTAAACAAGATCGCGATATGAAAATAAAATTAACTCACCAACCGTTGAGTTGACTATTTCCATTTGTTCGTCTGATGAGCAACCTGAAAGTTAAGACAGGCAGGCATGTTTATAGTAAATATATCCATTGAGAATGAAATTATCATCCGTTTCATTGGTTCATTATACATTTATGTAACTCATTATAGGAAGTATAGTCTAGCTAAGTTTTATATAAAAACCCCATTAATATCAGGTAAGTCAGTATGAAAGCGCATATAGCTTATAAGACAGATGAAAAAGTAGGAAGAGGTATGAAAATTATCATCTTTCACTCGCATTTGTTTTCTGCATTGCTCTACGTCGTGTCGGTTTTGGCTAGCAAGATTGTGAGGCGACCCCAGTAGAGAAGTACTTGTTTTTTATACCCCCCTCAGGCATGTCAGTCTAGTCTGCTCCCCTAGTAACAACCCTTCACTTCAAAATCTTGATTTACTATATTCATTTTCGCGACAGTTTGTCTCAAGTTATCAGGACAATTGATGTAAACCTCATGGCTTAACATTTTTACACACTGGGTTTTAGCTTATCGGTGCACCTCGCAGTTCCCTTCCACGACCACAACTACCACCAAAACCAGTCCCAGTAAGTTTTCCTATGTCTTTTAACGTTCACTCCCGACAAGCACATTTGTGATTGTCCTTTTAATTTCCCTTGTAGCGTCCAGCAGTTCGACACATTCCAGCTGACGATTGGCTGACGTATAGGCTCGATCACAGCAAGCTCTACAGATGTGGTGGTGATATCTCAAAGGAGTTAGAAAATCACAGCCTCTACATCCATGATGTAGAGGACATTTGGGCTCTGTATCCACGCCACTTGACGGTAGCCTCAGCAGTCAAACCTGCTCCTCCTGAAATGGGTGGTGGTAGTACCGGAGGAGGCCTGCGTAGGAAGGGGGGACCAATGACTCCATATAGCAAGGGTCGCTCTTCTGGTGCACACCCACCCTCTTCCAAGCAGCGTCGAAGTCATCACGTTTCCCCGCCTCCACAATCAATTGATTACTTTGACGAGGACGAGGAGGGCGAAGACGACTATGAATTGGAGGATGATTACCCCGGAGGTCCTTCGTACCTCTCTCCTTCACCACCGCCACAAACTTCCTCTAGACATAATCGATATTCTGCTTCCTCATCACGTCACAGGGGCGGAAATGGAGCATATCAACGTAAACTTCCGCCGGATCCGTCATATGGAAGTGGAAACAGAAGACGGCCTCGAAGGTCACCAAGGTGGTAAAAGTAAAGGCATGAGAGGATTTGTTTGTAAATAGAACCCCCCCCCTTCCCAATGTCTCCCTTTTAGTGACATTGTGCCTCGTATATTTTTCATAATCCCGCTTGCATGTAATAATTTGCCTGTCTGTAAGTCCCGTTTGTTTAATTGTTTATTGGTAGTGTATTATGTTAATAAAGCGACTATAGTAAGGATAGGAATTGACCTTGAGTTGGATACTTACCGGGTAATTTGGATTTCAAGAAGACACTACGTTGGAGAGCTGGATAGGAGTGAAGTGCGATAAAAAATAACTGGTAGTGGTAATTCCCACACAAAGAGCAAGCACTGCAGCTCACTCCCATTAATCTTCCCTTAATGGGCTGTTTATAAGGAAAGGAGGGGGAGGGGGGAGTATCATTGATTTTGTTACAAAATAAAAGTACATTGGCCAGGAAGCGTTGAGGTCCTCAATGTAATGGAAAATGAATAACATAGCATAGCCCCGTTCGATGCTCTTCATATAAGACGAAAGTCAAGTTCCGTCAACAAGACCTATTTATCGAGTGACGGGTCTTTCGAACAAAGGGGAGAATGCATGACAAAAACTAAACGGGGTGTTTTGATAAATAGTGACTAAATGACGTTTCCCTTCAATTCAAGAATTGGTTCAAGTCTCTTGGGTAATAAAAATGTTGTTCTCTCAAGCCTAATAATGGAAGCGGGAGAAGCCGAGCAAGGGATCTGTCAACTTCGTTACTAGCATTGGACATAAACCCAAAAGTAAAAGGCTGCCTTTTTCCTACTTGCCTTTAGTAGTTCCTTGATATTATTGAACCCGGCATAATATAAGGTTTCGTCAAAGGTATGAATTAGATGTGGCTGTGCGGCTTTGAGTATTTTAGCTAACGAAGGAGAGTAAGTCAATAAAAAGGGAATGTGAATTTTGCTTCTGAAATCAGTTAGTTATATGAGGTTTCTATCATTTGAGAATTTGGTGAAATTATGCAGGTCTCAATCTCAAAAAAGCATATCTGCGAGTTTACTGAACAAATGACAACTTTTCTGGATTTGTTACTGTTTCTGCCCTCCTATTATACATTGGTCTCTTATGAACAATTAGCCGTTACATTTTACACTTACGACAATAACTAGCCCCGCCTCAAGCCATTCCTGTTTCTGTGTCTACTTTCATTGTAGATATTTTGTAATCGTAGTAAAATTCATAAAATTGGGAAGAATCTCTTTTCTAAAATGTTTTAATGTTTATATTGGCATCTCTTGAGCTAGAATTCCTTTTGAAATAACCAAAGGGGAGAGGGAGAGTATCTCAGAGTCATCGCCCGGAGATGAGATTCTGTTTCTATTCATTTATTGCTGTGGTTGAATTTAATTGGTCAGACAATAGACCAATCAATGATTAGCAGTTAGAAGTGACATGGGGATTGCATGGAATAGATATATTATACATCGAGTTCACGCAAAAGCACTTTCGCCTTCCTTTCAATGATCATTTTTAAAGTGTTAGTAGTACCTGCGTACCCTAACCCTGAGGCTACGTACTGCACACCTATTGACTTAACCGTCAGTGAATAAAAAGCACAAAATCAGACCACAATCCAGTTAATCCTCACTGTGTAGTAAAGTCTCCATGTTTCCTCTTATCCAATGCACGCCTGTATAGCCCAGCTCTGGTCTCTTCACATTAGCTTCAAATTATTAGTTCAATGAGTAGCTAACTATTCCAAATTGGTCCATCACCCACGGTATTTGTTATTTGGGAATAGAGAAAAAATTACTCCTATGACGGATTTCTGTATTACAAAGGGGCCATATTAAATCTAAGGGATCCTAAAAGGAATACATTTGGACATTTTGGAGCTCCTGAGAAGAGTTGGCAAAAAGTCGAACTTAGATTGATAGGTAGCATCAGGATACTCTCCTGGAAACTTGGCTTTCACCCCCACCCCTCCTCCCCCCAACACCCATTAGAATTAAACTCACTTTTGTGATTAACCATTCCGCTCACAGGATGCATCAATAAGCCCGGACCTATATGATAAGTGCTGTGCCACTAGACATGCCGATCTAGTTCAAATTTCCAACAATGAACTCTAAAAGGTAAAAAAGAGAACAGGCCAATTCCTGGCATCCAGCTTGTAATCAGAATAGCACTTCCTAAGTGATTTAATGGTGGAGAAATTTCCACTGAGCTACAAATCTTCCTCTGAGTGAGACTTTTACAAGTAGCCCTGAGCTTGAATTATAGTTTAAACTGAGTGAATTTTAGTGAGCCCTGTTATGTTATGGTTTTAAGTGGCAAGAAAGGTCGCGGAAATAATGAACAGTTAAAAAGCTCCGAATATCGTGAATACAATCTCGCCCAAGAACCTTGCAATCGAATTAAACATAATATGCAGAAGCGAGTCGATTATGAGGAAAATGGCAATTCTTCTACTGTAATAAAGAATCTGACGATGCTACTTCATTGACCTCTTCAGCATACCTCATATCTACGACATGAGCTACGAAAGTAGCTAAGGCAACCTGGGTTAGCTTTCCCTCCTCCAATAAAATAAACAAGTATAATTTATACACAACAATTTTGTATTCACAAACAAACAAAAGGGAAAATGTGGTAGATTGAACGTACATTCGCATCCACATAATCTTTTTACAGAGTACCAATTGAGTGATGTATATGGGATTAAATAGGGGGAAAGGTAAAAATGAGTCACAATGAAGGAGTATTTTAATAGCGGGGTGGCCTTGGCGGGTTGCCCATGAGTGACCAACGGGAGGCACCATAGTCAGCAGCATCTCCACTTCTTCCTACGCCCCCTAGGTTACAATCCGCTGTCCCATTGGCGGAAAACCCTCCTACAGACGTCGAATCGTACCCAGCCCCACTCCTCGATCGAGATTGGGTAGTATCATTCCAATTGTATTTCGCAGCTGAGCCTTTAGAGAAAAGGAAGGCTAATTTGCCATTTTGGTTACTCTCTTGGAAAATTATGCACACCTCTGGTTACAGTTTATAAGTACTTAGTGGCATCCCATTAAGTCAAATCATAACCCTGAGTACAGTAGCTACAATATGTCCCAAGCGTTACTCATCGACGAAAAAGAATAAACTGTCAACATCAGAGACGCAGCATAACACTCCTTTTGTCACAAATGTTTAGTCGCTTCCATCGGTCTGAGTGCCCAAAGTGACTGAAACCAAAGAGTAATTTGACCAAAAAGCACACCGGATTGAAGAATGAACATTATGGGTCAAGGCGCAATCAATACACTTCATATCTGGCTCACACTCTTCTATTTTCTGGTCGCTCCTTTTCATCAATAAAGCCTTCAACAAGTGACATCTCTGGGAAACAAGTTTTCTTTAACCATTCACTTATATACAAAAAATATCATAAACTTGTTTTTAAAATTTTCTGAGCATATTAGTAGAGTTCCCAATCTACTCATACTTCAATTCAGTTGATATATCGAGTACCACGTTATAGCAAGCAGTTTCATTAACCTACAGCTGAAGAGAACGAGGCATTGAGGTTATTGGAGCCCTGGGCAGAAGTTACAAGAATTTGGCGGAATATTTTTAAGTGCTCTTCTCGCATGCCCATACGACAGGATGGAGTCTTCTCAAAGTTATGTTAATAGCCAAACAGGTTAGCTTTTACAGACAGGGTGTACTTTAAAAAGCAGAGAGAAGTTGTCATTTTTATTCTTTCATAGCATAGATTCCACATATATAACAAAAGAGTAGCGATTGTGGTTTTTCAGTCGGCAGCTAGAATCGAATTGTCAACTATTGGCGTATAACTCTAGGTCAAATTTCAATAAAGACGGCAATAAGATGTGGAAATTCGTTGAGCTATCAATTCCCAGCAGGATTAGTTAATCATGCCCTTAAAAATGACTGTAGAAGGACAAATGTACCAACAGGCAAAGTTCAAGGGCGCGGAATAATTGTTTTGTCTTGAGCTGCGCGATTCCCACCCGTCTAAGCCGCCTAGCGTCCTCATCAATATTCGACTGCACACTCCTCCTGACAAAACTGCTACTGGCCCGACAGTAAGTACTGACTATGTTTATTACATTTTCCTCTCGGTTATCACTAATTGCTCATGAGACCTAAGTGTCCTAACCTCAAACCCTTACAAAGTTCCTAGTTGTGACCTCAACTGGTTAATTTCAATTTCAAATCCATTAAATGGAACTTAAACGAGAGTTGCTAGGACAAGATTAGTCCATGATCAGCAGTATCCAGAACCGCTCCATTAGATTATGTTATCCCTTTGCAAACAAGCCCATGGTTAAAAGCATTCTCTACTTCTCCTCTTTCAGTAAACTGTCCACAACTGTCTTCCCCTCTCCAACCTGCTGTATGGTGAAGATCAAACGAAGTCAGATAGACAACGGCTTAAAATAGCTCTACATCCGCATTTATCATTCAATGACAGGTATTTTGACCCTCATTATCAATAATAATACAGATAAAATAGATTCATATGAAGTCTAATAACAGATCGAAAATATCAAGCTTGCAATATGCACTCTAAGAGATTCAAGCCAACCTTTAAGTATGGCCTATATGAACTCAAGGTAAAAGAGTTTACAGATGAAAAACTCAACGAAGCCTTAAATATATATCTAGAAAAATATGCATCTCAAAGTTCTTGCACATTAACTATTTAAACAATCAAATTGGCTGTCCGGTAACAGCAAGAAATAACAAAAGCAAAGTAACTTACTCGGCTTATGCCCATAGTCAAAGACCTTTTCGGTTCTTCTGGGTTCATGTTGGGGCGGAATCGATGCCATCATGTTTGAATAACTAGACCGATCATTCCCACCAGAGCGGCGTGAATAGGGATATGCCGATGATGACATTTGATGTTGGGATAGAGGAGGCGCAGGGTGGTGGGCATAATCATCATTTCGACTTCTTTGAGACCTCTCAATTATTGGCGGTGCTGACGGTGATAGTCGCCTCGAGTACCGAACAGGACTTCTCGACTCATTCAACTCACGAGGCAAACGATGACGCGGAGGTGAACGTGACCTCCTCGGTGACCTTGGTCGTTTTAGTGGAGACCTCGTTTCCAACTCGAGTCGTCTTCGAGATGTAGAATGAGAAGAACTCCTAAAAAGGAGACAATCAGATGACAATCTAGTATGAACCTGTAATTGGTGTTCTCACCAGATGAAGTTCTATTACATTGTCAATCCCATTAGACAAACGCAGAGTAATCACTTGAACAATATTAATATAAAATTTGGGAAGTTTTACTCAATTTCAAAGAAGCCGAAGCAACTTCATTTCCTAACTTCCGTTTGAAGGAATCCCACACATCATGAAATAATCCCCTGGGATTTGAACGCAATCATGCTCAATGGCCCCTCTTAATTCCGTTACTATTGCAGATTTCGCAGCGTAGACTTTGTCTTTTAAGTATTCTCATAAGAAAAATATAGCGTGAGGTCTGGTGAAAGGGGAGGATATTCAACTAAACCCCTTCGTCCAATCCACCCGTTTCGCAAGACCTAACATCGCGATTGTAATGTGGGGGGCGTGTGTTCTTAGGTGAAAAATTGTACTTCTGTATTATCGCCCATGGGCGCTTATTCAGACGGGTAATTATTGGGTTTGAAAAAATTGCCTCATAAAATGGAATTTTCCGTTTAAAAACCCTGGGTGGATTTTCGGAAAACCCCGGTAACACTGAAAACCAAAGCGTTATTCCCAAATATTTCATCTACGTCTTGATTACAGCCTAAATTCACATCCATTACTTCACTTTAAAAGAGAGCCAAGGAGTAAATATTTGTAGATATTGTAAGAAAAGCACCTTCAGATACGCAACTTGAAAATGGGAGAAAATACGCCATGTGAGAAAGAATCACCCTTCTAGTTTAAATTGAATTTACAAGAAGGAAATCATGTAGTCGGTTAGGAGTGTATATCAATGAAGAAAGGTTTACTGGAGTAGCTTTGAGAAAATCACATCCGATTGTTCATCTTGAAGATCAGATTTGGTCAGCGAAATTGAATACTCCACCACTGCCCCATCAAAACACTCGTGGTGTATAGTACATACACACCAGGCAATAGTCCGGTAGCAGGTCTGATCAAGTCGGGTTTAAAGCACCAAAGGCTTAGGAAAAAGGTAACAAGAATTTAAGCGAGACACAAAAGCTCAGATTGGATTTAGAACGAAACATTGCAGTGGGTGGGATAGGCGCTAATCATGAAAGCATACCAAGGTATTAAAATAACCATTCCTCCTTCCATGACAATATTTTGTGCATACGGAGTGGTATCGAATATGGTGAAAAGATTGACATTTAAAATTTTTAAAATTCCAACTTCAAAAGGAGTAGAAGAGGAAGACATACACAAACTAGTGCATTTGATTGACACGAATTGCAACCATGGTGAGTGGATCCACAACTCATTATGCATTTGGCGTGTTTAAGAAATTACTCATGATTTAAGTGACATGAAATGAACTTGCCAGCTAATATCCGGATCTTCATGTCGTCTGCTTGAAGTTGAAGGACGATCATCTCTAGAAGATCTGGCACAGCTTCGATAGCGTTTATTACTACTGCCGTAGGATCGACTTTCAATGGCAGGCAGAGAATAGCGATCATTGTGAGAAGGGAGTTGATAATCCTGAGAACGTTCATACCGAACAGAACTCTCAAATCTATCATCCTCCTGATAGCGTGGTCTAACCCTGCGTTCTGTCATAAAATATCTCAGTGGGATTTCCTCCTCTTCCCGACGTCTGTACACAACAGGGGGTTTAGAGGAATAATGTCGAGAGGATAACTCCTCTCCTTGAGAATAAGAATACCCGGGCTCACGACGATAATAACCATTGTCATAGCGTGACTCATCATAAAACTCCTCTCTCCTGGGTTTGCTTGAGTAAGATTCTCTCAGGCTTTCTTTCTCAGAATAAGAATGTCGAACAGGTTCCTCAAAGCGAGTTGGATGCTCTCGTCCCACATAGCGAACACTGAGAAACATCGTCACTGACAATATAAAGAGCTTACCGAGAAGGAAGTAACGGTGGTGTTCTACGCCGAGGTGATCTGCGACGACTTGATTTCAGACTTGGATTCAGATAAGACTCTCTAGGTCGGGGGAGCTAAATAACAAAGACAGGAGTTTGTGGAACATGAACATCGGGTGTAACATGAACACAACAGAAAAGAGTGAGAGAAGAGAATTTAGAGCACTTCTTGGGCACTTTCCGTGATGTATTGAAGACATACGAAAAGGGGCTGTTTGATTAGACTCACTGCTTTTGGACGAGAAAGTTTCTCCTCCCTAGAGTTCCGTAATTTGTGTTCCAGTTTTCGAGATATTTTTCGAGACGGAGATCTAGGACGAGGTCGTGAAAAGCTATTCCTTGTTTTAGAACTCACAATATCGCGAGCTTTTTGAAGCGTACGCTTTAATTGAGATTTAGCCAAGGTAGAAGTAGTGGATTTTGCATGACGGGTTGAATCGGGTCGTTTACCTAACACAAAATACGATCACTCATTGCGCAAGAGACTACGTACCTCCAGTATGAAGACGTCTTGGATTTGATGATAACGTAGAACTGACTGGAGTTTGATTTCCAGTAGCGGAAAGGCGACTTTTTTCCAAGATTAATGATTCCTTTTGAGGAGCATTTGGAATTTGTTCTGTCTTCTCGACTCTAATAGTTCTACCATTGTACTCTGTTCCATCAAATTTCTTGATACACATTGTAGCATCTTCTGGAGTAGCGAGAGTCAAGAATCCAACACAGCCACCGGGTCTTCGTTTACTCACCAAGATTTTCCCAGAAATAACGTTGCCGTAAACACTGAAGTGTTGTTTTAAATCCGCCGCTTTTGTTACGGGTTTCAAATTGCTCACTCGAAGGAAAGTAAGGGCGCTTGCAGAGGCAATAATTTTACTTGGTGATTTATCTGAGGACTTATCCTGGGACTTTGATTCCTCTACCTGACTACTACTGGTATTGACGGCCTGCAATCTTACACTGAAACGAAAATGGAAGCCGAATGAACCGACAATGCTTAGCATGGTTCCACAATCCACACATGATTCACAGGGGGATGACAAACCTGTCCTCTAGTATAGATTCAACCGATTCCTTTGGCTCTTCCCCTTTAGATATTTGTTTCTCTGTGGATTCTTTCGTTTGTTCATGGGAAAGAGTCTGTGGGTCTTCTATATCATAGTCCAAATCATTCTCTGTCTCCCCAACACCGACCACGAATGTGGTAGTGTCTTCAATTTGATCGGCTGCGTCTTCCTTTGCCCTGTCTTCAAGCTCTAAAGGCTCTGGTAGGCCGATAGAACCCTCCGATACGGCTGTTAGATGAGATTCAGTCCTTTCCTCATTGTCATTGGCTTCACAGAAATTCATAATTTTATTATCGGATGAACTTATTACTTCTGGGGAATATTTATTTTTTGTTAAATGACAATTAGATAAATAAATCTAGTTCATCAAACATTTAGTCCTCAAGAACCAAAATTGGGTAAAAAGAATTAGAAACATGTTGCTTTGAGTTACAAATCATAACGCCAGCTTACCAGTTAGGACATCATCAATCGGGGTTTCCGACTACAGAACAGAAATCAAAGAACCAATTATAATCTACCTTAGCATCGCCATCTTCAATGGCCACGACTGTTTCAACTTCATCGGGTTTGCTGAAATCATATGTTAATGGGTCGCGACCTTCTTTTAAAATAATCTAGAGCAATAACTGACAAAACAACTAATTTACTTCTTTAAGGCGCTCCATTAGAACTGGCTTCATACCACTCCTATCAACTCCACGCTTCGCCAACTCCTTACGGAGCTCTACGACTCTCAAATCGCCGAGAAGACGATGGGGCATAGTACAGACTTGAAACACTGGCGAATTTAAACAAACGCGTTGTACAATAAGCTTAACAAACACAAATTTGAGATACACAAAATCATCATTTAGAAAATATATCAAGAGCATAGACCTTTCATCAAAGAAATTCTCTATATGATTTAATGCTCATTTCTTTCTTTATGTGCATTATACTCTGAATGAACTAATCGTGAAAGTCATCCTATCACTCACGAACTTTATTTTAAATACTTTAAAAGTTTCTATTTAAATATATTTTAAAATCTGTTTTGAATATTCTCTTTATGATTCAACCCAGCCTAAATACATTCGGTATCAAATTGAGACAGCAAATAAGTTATACCCTTACGTTCATTGGTATAAATTTTTATTTCCGGGCTATTTTTCTAAGTTAGAATTCAGTTATACATTTAATCGGTTAATAAATAACGAAAGGGTAGAAAATTTTATTTCGAGCTATTTGGTATGAAAAAAACTTTAGCCAATGAAATATCTTAAAGTATGAATGCAAAATTATGAATCATTTTATTACCATGCTGAGTTTAAATACCAAATCTAGCATCAAGTAATATTTTGAATACTATTGTCTATATTTATATCTTCTCATCGTTCAAGTCTTGGGCTACTTCTGGGTGTTCAGTAACCAACAACTTTATTTTTGACTACTTAATATGTGGTTACTTCGCAATAAGTATGTAGACGTCTGCTCTTGAAGCGCTTTAGCCCGAAAAGGGAGAGGAATATTTTTTTCTACATCATCAGATTAATACAAAATGATTTAATTCATTCCCTGGTTCAAACTCTATGGGTATTTTTGATTATTGTATTTTTGATTAATATTCAGTATAATTTACCATGAATTTATTGAAGTTCTAACTGACACTGTGAAAAAAATATTATAAATTGAAGAAATGACCATCTTCAATATTTTTATCAAAATAGCGAAATGTTCCATTTATTCATGAACCTGAAGGCTTATTTCTCTCTTTTGAGCATTTAAAAGCATACATTTTGCCTTAGCATCAGCTCAGGAATCTTTGCTATTGTTAGAGCTACTACTGTGTTTGTAGCATAAGAAGATTGAGGCAATAAGTGTTTGCTTAAACAAATCTAGTCTCCATTTAAATTTTTATATGGTCCTGTTGTAACATTAGTGATTAAATTCTTCTCTTATCTTTCATATATTCATTAATTTGAATATAAAGTAATTTGCTTCATAGCAGTATATAGAGATATATTCCTCTTTTCTCAGGATTTGTGCTGTACTAGATAAGAATTGTAACAAGCTAAGCTATAGCCCAGCTATAAGGGAAACAGACGTATAATTCAGCTAAGCTATAGCCCAGCTATAAAGGAAACAGACGTGTTGCCTAGACTCCCAGAACAAGCTAACCTATAGCCCAGCTATAAGGGAAGAGACGCGTAGCACGGAGCACGTTTATTCAGGACGTATATTCGATGTGTAGCACGGAATACGTTTATTCAGTACGTATATTGATAGCGAATTGAGATTTCGCAAAACGATTAGTTATCAGATAAATCTAGCATAATTCGCGTGAACATTAATAGCTAAATATCTCTGAGTAGTGTTCTGTAGCAGGATTTCTATTGGTCATTTATGAAGTGTCCCACAAGTTCTGCACTTTTGTGAAGATTTGGGTTGTTATGCCTCCAGCAGATAAAGAAATTTCATAACCAAATATCTAATATGATTAGTAAATTTTTCTTGTTTTAGTGAAATTTAATATACCAAGGAGTAAGTAATGTCCCCTTATTTTCCAATAATTATCGACGTGTTCCACTCTTTTGCATGTTTACACATGAAATAATTTAGTGTAGACTCCTTTGAGTTGTCTTTCTAATAATTTCCGTCAAAAAACTTTCGTCCCCCCTTCCTTCTGTCTACCTTATCAGCCCACCAGCTGCGGAACTGACTTTTATTGTTCTCCCTCCACGCAGTGATTGTGCTACGTTTTCACCTTTCTTATTGTCGGTCCTGCGATCACCAATACGACAGGACTTTCGTATTTCTTCGCTATTTACTCCTTACTGAATAGCCTTCTCTCGATAATGGTGTAGCTGCACTATGAATTCTTATCTTTCGCCTTATCCCCTTTTGTGTGCAAAAGGTGGTGTGGGAAGTTGCAGAGTATCACTTAACGCTCTAGCGGGATGTCGAGCTGTAGATACATATCAAGAGGCGTCCCAATCACCGTTTAGTAAATGTCAAGACTCTTTGTTTCCGGTAAGGTTACGTTTGAGACCATTCGAAATAAAGCTTGACAAAGCGGTTAATCTAGTGCACTACAAAAGTAATGAGTGCTTTACATGAGAATACTAGTCGATCCCATGTTAAGGGAGTCAATCCATTTTTAGCCCAAATAACAATCAAGCTATGATTGATGTTCACCAGCATGGGGTGTGCGATTGACATACCTCCACGTGGTGCAGCCTGGGCAACGTATAATCATACGGCAAAAAAGTCTATTAACCGGCAGTTAACTTCTGACTTCAAGCTACCATCACCCCACTGTATGCATATTCGACTATTCACAGTACTCATCTTACCTTTTTTACTTCCTTTGTGTCTGTCTCCTTTACATCTTTGAAACACTCTTCTGTCCCCCCCCCATCTCGACTTTTTTCACTTTGATGTTCCTTCCCCTCTATGAAGCCTGAAGTCAACTAAAGGCCTAATGATAGCTATCCAAACGCCTGCCATTTGGTATAAATAAATAAATGTTCACCAGCATTTCAAAAGGGATGATAGTCGATTTAGTGACAGCCAGTGGGAATTGATAATCCCTAGATAGAGCAATAACGCCGCGGCATCCTACTCCAAAGGCCGAATAACTTCCGAGTCCAATTTACCACCTTAAATACCCTCAATTTATCTTATCGACCGTCTTCTTATGCATACAGACAAAATCATTAGAGGCTATTGAACTCGAAATTTCACAACAAATTAGTCATTGGGAATATAATTGAAACGTGCATTCAGGTCATCCCACATATATATTATATCCTCATTTCCATAGACATGACTTAGTGCTATTACCTTTTATTTTTCAGTGAGTTGTAGATTGTGAAGTTCCAAGCACTTCTATCGGCAAATTGGTTAGGTGGGTTGAGCTGCGATGGGCAAATGGGCACACAATCAACTACACACTGTGTTCAACAAAAGGTGACCTGAGACAAAATTTTAGAACATAATTTTAATAGCAACGATATAAGTATGTATTAGTAGCTTATTTAAATTATCATCGTTTTCAATAAAATGACCACGCACACATGTGGCGAGACACACACGGGATGTCAGCTTGCGAGTAGTAACATAACCACAGGCCTTATCATTAACAAGAGACAATGAGCGGCAACAAGTGAGAGAAGGGGGAAAGGTCAGAGGGGGGAGGAGGGAAGGGGGGGGGGTTAACCGTTAGAAAAAGGTAGATGGGCTTAAAATTCAGTTCCAAATCATCCATTGGCCTAAGAGTATTCACACAGAGATAGGGAAGAAAGGAGAAAAAAAACAAGAACCGATAACCTCTTATAAGAAAGGAAGGGAAAAAGAAGGATTAATGACATCGGGTATGAAAAGTGGCGTTAAAATTTTATTCTGTGGTCTAATTGGCGTTTATACGGTTAGAGGAATTGGCTTGAGGCATAATGGGCGGCAGAGTGTCCACATAGTTGGCTGGGAAGAGGCCTGTAGCACCGGTGGTTGAAATTCGACCACGCCACCAATTCTCGTCCTCCTGGCCTAACACTTCAATCACATCTCCTCGATGGAATGAGAGTTCTTCTGCCTCCGAGGCATTGAAGTCAAAGCGCGCAATAACTCGCTGCACCATCTGCGATTGCTGACTTCCTCCGCCAAGATCTGCGGACTGAAATCAAAAGAAAAAGAGAAAAAACGTGAAAATGGTCAAAGGCCTTTGGTTATGATTCCAGTTTTATCTTGCCGGTGTCAAATAATAGCAGGCATAGGGCTCTCAAAGGGACCTTGACATAGCAACAATAAACATGGTGGATTTTTCCAGGAAATCCCGCGACCAAACTTTTACAAAGAAGGCTTCGTTTTGGGCAGATATACAACCCCCCCCCCACCCTTTCTCCTACCAAACACTTACTGTACAAGTCATTAGGTACCAAGGAGAGCTAGTAAGCTTGCACAGTCATAGCATTTAAAAATTTATTATGACTCAAAGGAAATAATAGGTTTGATAAAACTGTCAAGACTAAAATAGACAACAATGTCACTGTCTTTCAATTCCAATTCGAGCTAATTCTTCGCGGAAAAATAATAACACCTTACACCATCAACTCCCATACTGACTTTAATGAGCAACGATTAACAAGGTCGCCTAGTGACCGAATTTCGAGGGCATTAAGTGTGGTTAAAGACGAAGGTAATGTAAACACAGCATACCATACACTGCCCCACCCGTAAATGACGACATTAAATTAAACCCATTTGATTCAATTGGAATTATAAATCGCCCTAGCGATACTAATGTGCATGAGTATCATTTAAAATCTCTGTTTATTTTTTAACAATGATACCTATTGATAAGACAGTTCTTCTAAATTTAACCAACTTCACTTCAAATAAGACCTATGAGAGGGAAAGAGAGAGAGAGATTGCAGCGCCTATCTTCGCACTATGAGAACGCCAAAAATCACACAATTATTATGGAATGTAGAGAAGAGCTTGGCATAGATAGATAGGAAATCGATAAGTCACTTAAACAAATAGCAATGAATTGAACTGCAATAACGCGGGATAAAACTCCACCAATCCTTTCCCGTCTATGTGTATATGTGAAAAGGTAAAGGCATAAATATAGGCAGTACATGCCTATTCACTACGAAAGAAAATTAAAGACGATTTAACGAATAAGATTAGGTGTGAAACATCATTCACAATCGATATAAAGCTTGAATTTTGATTAATTGAACTACAATTTGACTCAATGGAGACACGAGGAGAGCCCGTGATTAGGTTACACACTCAGTGAGCACACACACACTCAATTGAGTTCAAAACGGCTTAGAGCTCAAAGATAAACTTGCTGAATAGTGCACGCAATGGAGACCAACTGAAGATCGTACTTTCGGCATAAGCATCAAAACGCACAATCGCTCCGTATATCGCAACTCATGCAACCTGTGTATTTACATTGTTAAGTTAAGTTTACCATTAATTTTCATTCAATTTTTTGCCAGCTGTTATCTATTCACGGCCATTATACAAGTCAATACATATTTTTGCCTAATTGAATCGAGTTCTTTTCCAACAGTCCACGCTTTCTCAAATTAGACAAGAAAGCTGCAATTCACTGGATGCGACATCGAAATTGGAAGTTAATTACGAAGAGCGTGAAAAAGGTGAGGATATCCAAATGCAGTTAGTGGTATTTTACCCATCCACCAAAAGTGTAACAGAATGTCGATTATTTTACCTGAATTTAACTGACTGTATATTGGCTATCCCATGGGATTAGAGCAGAAACCCCAATTTACTCGACTGCCACCCACCTAAGCAGTCCTACTCGTGATCATCCAATCAGAAGACTAAAAACAAAATGTCAATCAGCAAGCAACTCCGAATTAAGCGGACGAAAATGACTCAGCGCTGCTTTCTTTCCCTTCTAGCCTAGTTGAAAGGGGAAAAGGCATAAAAAATTTCACTAGTTGCCTATGTATCTTATAGAAAACAACGGAGTACACAGACTAGACAATCTACAGCTTATACGTCATCATTAATAGGCTAACGACAAGTACAGAGTGTACTTGAGGTTGATCTACGAGTCTCCAATCATTCTTAATCCCTCATCAAGCATCGAGTTCTATTTGTTATCATCTGGATCGGGAAAGCCCACTAGAACTAAATTAACAAACATATGCGAGAAGAGTCCACGCACAAGTTACTGTGTTACCAAGATCCTCGATAACTAACATCATGATAAACTCACCACGAAATACAATTATCTGAGTATAATTGCCTTCCTCTCGTATGTCAACCTAAGCAGTTGCAATTGACACAATTAAAAACTCCGATTTCTCCCAGGTTTTCCGGTGTCTTTGTACTTTGCAGCCAAGACAGTAAGTAAAATCCTTTGCTAGGGTCAATAGGAAGTGAAAAACTTCAAAGGTAAAATTAACTTGGGCATCCTCTAAGAATAAGTAGTAATGAGAGAAATAGATCCAATCACTTAGGCGCGGGAAACAAACCCAAGTCCAATTTATTCATATCAAATGGCAGGGGTTTTGATAGTTATCATTAGCCCTGGAGCTGACTTCGAGGCTTCACAGAGAGGAGAAGGGACATCGAAGTGACAAAAAGTCGAGATGGGAGACAGAATAATGATTCACAGAGGTGAAAGAGACAGTATCAAGTCCAATTAAGTATCATGTTAGCTGCTCAATTTCCTGCGTCTATGCAGAAAATTAAGCACAATTTGGTTGGTTTGTTTTCCATCAAGGACACGGTAAGATATGATTTGCGTGAAAAAATTATAAGTCTACAGAATCTAATTAGGAGTATACTATTCCCTAATTATTCACACGTTCAAACAACCTAATAGTAGTAGTGGTAGTAGAATATAGAGAAGTAGATCGAAAATCGGAAATGTCTAGGAGAAAGAGGTATCTTCATTCAAGGAAAGGGAACAAAATGATACTTGTAGTGCGTACACACTGACTAACAGGTGGGCTCATTGTTAGAAATTCCCAATTACTCTAAACGTACCTCATTTTGCCTGTCTCCTACAACCCAAATTTCTATAGCTCAATACTAACGTCTTATCTCTACTCCACCCACCCACATCTTCCACTTCTACTTCGTGTCCAGTCATCGATTGACCAGTGAATCTATTTATCCTTTGGTCTTCGCCATCAAAAAAGGCTGTTGCTTCCTACTAGCTTTGCGACTGTTATTAGTTAAGTAAGTGAATTTTTAAGCCAAATTGAGTCCGACAACGGAATTAGAGCAAACGTTTTATTTCCTATAAAGCCATCTAGACACATTTTCTAATTTATTCCTTATAGTCAACATCACATTTGCATCGAACAGGCACTTAGATCTAGGTAAAAATTATACTAAAAGACCACAAAACTAGCCAGAGGTAGTAGAAAGCATAACTTGTCTTAATGCGGGCAATACGCATTATTTAGGGGATCTCCATGCCGTTCATCATCAACTTCCATCGATGATGCTGTCTACATAAGGTGAGAGCGCATTAGAAGTAGGCCAGCAGCCTAATTGAACCGCATTGGACCACACGCATATGTGCATACGAAAAAATGCGGCCATAAGACTTACTAAAGGTACACACATTATTCCATCCTTGAGGGACTGGCGAGTGTGCAGTTGAAGTCTACTCACTGGATAGTCTCAATACGACCCAATATTCTGCATCCCTATTGGTAGTCATTGTTTTGGAATTACCGGAATCCAGACTCCCTCCAAATAAATTGCAATAAGAATAAAATGACATCACTTGCCAACAACTACTTCAAGGAAAACCACAAAATAACGCGCAGAAAACACCAAGAAGGAAGTGCAATAAGAATGAAACTGCATTGTCATCAAGTGGAAACTTCTTACTGTATTTTTTTTTGCTTCCTTAGAAATTCAACCACTGTGAGCGAGCGAGCAAACGAGCAAGGAAACTCTAGCGCAATATATAAAGAAAAAAATAGGAGAGACTGGCTGCTGGCTGACTGCAAAATTTTATTACCAGCTGTTCTTCTTATCCCCGCCCTCACACACACACACGCACGCACGCACGCACGCAACGAATGCCGTACCTTACAATTAATGCAACAAAAATGAGATAGAAAGTATTAAGACCTGAGGAAAGACAGATAATGTAATAAGAGTGATGGAAATAACTCAAATAAATCAATAATTCCTACATGAGCGTGAGCGCCCTAGCCTAGAATGTCCCCCCCCCTTAACGGTATTAACTTCAATGTCAAGAGAGAAGAGAAGGGGGAGAGGAGACAAGTTATGCACGGAACGACATGAAGAAAGTAGAACACTGAGCAAAACCGACACTCAGGGTTAAGATAAGAATAAGTACCACCTAATAAATAAGACAATAAGGCCAAACGTTGATTAATATAAATCTCACGAAAATTTTGACTTTGGGACAGAGAAGACTCTCACTTGGGAGATGGAGAAGTCATATTTAATAAAGAACTACATTATAAACGGAGACGACCAACGTTAGTGGCATTCACAGACGTACGAAAAATCACTTTATATGAATTATCTTAAACTTTTACCCAACATAACTAAGCTGCTTCCAAGAGGGCTAGAATTAAGAGACTTCTGGAAGAAAGATATCGGAACCACCTCATCTACCCCAACGCCAAGGAGATCAGGGGATCGCGCCTTTTATCTTTAATGGTAAAGTGAATGGCATCAAAAGGCTGGGTTCTTATACTAGAGGTTCCAGCTATATTTTCTTTTTAAACAATTCACACATTAGCACTGGTATTATTACATGATGAAATGAGAGCTCCAATCAATAAATGAGATGGCACGAAAGAAGGTTAGTGTAACAAAAACATACCCTGGAAGGTTGTCTGTCAACAAGGAGGAGAAAACTGTCTCGGGAGATACTTGTGCGTCTATGGTATTCAATCAACTGATTAATAGAATCGAATTTGCGCAGCCATACAAAGTACTTCCCCATCTCGTCCTGAAGTACCTTGAAATGTTGAACCTTCTGACCATCCCTAGAAAATGAAAAAGAAGCATATACAAACAAGAAAACCAAAATATGCTCAACTTATAGCTAATCCGCTAGTATTCAGTTTCTAAATATACAACCGACTCATCAAAGTAGAACGATTGCATGATATTTCCATACAACACTCAATGTTGGACAAGCTTAATATTTCTATTAAGATTTGAGGGCATTCTCAACCTTCCAGTTTAAGCATGTAAACCCATATCTCGTATTTAAGAAATTTAACATCCGACCCCCAGAGCCAATACGATCCGAGCATGTTTGGCACCTTCTTGCCGTCAAGTTCATTCCAAATCGTCTATCCACACGTTGTAATTCATGTCATCTCTTTTCATATCGAGCAGAGGGGATTAGATGCCATTGGTGATAGACGATATCAGGTTGAAAGACATGCTTTTGAGGTTTTCAATTGGCCAATAGATTTATTTATATCAAATGGCAGGCGTTTTGATAGTTTCATTAGCTCTTTAGGAGACTTCAGGCTTCACAGAGGAGAAGAAATATAATTAATTAATTAATATCAAATGGCAGGCGTCTTGATGGTTATCATTAGCCCTTTAGTTGACTTCAGGGACATCAAATTGAAAAAAGCCGAGAGGGGGGAACAGAAGAGTGTTTCAAAGATGTAAGAGACAAACACAAAGGTAGAAAAAAGGTGAGGTGAATACTGTGGAAATAGTCGAATATGGCATAGAGTGAGGTGATGGTAGTTTGAAGTAAGAAGTCAACTGCCAGTTAATAGACTTTTTTGCCGTATGAATATACGTTGCCCAGGGTGCACCACGTGGAGGTAAGTC